AACACTGACAATTCCAAATAATCAGTTTAAATATCTGCGATTTATTATGACGGAAGGAACATAGACATTAACTGCAAAACCTTTTTTGAAGTTTGGTTCAAGATTTTGCTCATATGCCGGAGGCATGATTATAAAACAAAAACAATACCGGACATACCGATGTTACGACATTCTGCCTAAAGGTTTCAAGCTGTAAAATTACAATTCAAAGGTGAAAAGAAGATGCAAGTCTTTGATCAGTGGGATAGTTTAGATTATCAGTACTTATTATCCAGATTAGTCAAATGATATGAAATGTTAGTCAATTATTGTCGTCAAACCCTTTTTCTTTCATTCTTTAATCGTTTGATGCAACAACTTAACATGAATTATTATTTATTAGTAAACAAAGCATTGATTTCAAAACGGCTCAGTTTATTTTATGTCTGATACTAATTATTATGAAATGACAGCCGTCTCAGTTCTGAAAAAAAACTAAAGTAAATCTTTGGTCTGCGATCACGTTAAAATAGAAATATTGTAAAACGGATGAGTTAACCTCTACTATTTTGTGTTCATAAATATCTACCATAATTGTTGTTTACACCTGCATCATACATCTATGTTTCTGAAGGGGTGATGGTAACCTAACAGTTGAAACAAAAGTTTCAATTTGACAGCAATAACTATTATTGTAATACAAACTTCAAAGAAAGAAATTACAATCATTCTTATATTAAAACCGCTATGGAAACTCAAATGGAGATCCGAAATTCAAAACCAGAGGTCTGAAATCCGAGATGATTGCAAGACAGCTGTTTTTGAAAATTCGAAGCTCAATGATAATGGGACTTTCGAAATTGTATATCCAGGATATTCAACAAAAAGACTGTAAAGTTATGAAATTGTACGGCAAACAATACTGGGCAAACGTATAATATATTTCCGGTTTTACAGTCTTCGTGGTCCTTTTTTTTTAAAACCGAACGGATGAATATTTCAGATGATGTGTTTATCAACGTCCCCAACATTTTAGTTCGGTAATGCAAATGCTGTGATAGCAGGCAAAGAGAAAATATGGAAACTTATTACAAAGTAGTATTAATATTGTATTTAAAGAGAACAATACATAAACATATTTTTTCAAGGCTTTTTTTATTATTATCATTGTTGTTATTATTATTATTATTAATATTATTATTATTATTATTATTATTATTATTATTATTATTATTATTATTATTTTTATTATTATTATTATTATTATTATTTGAGTTTTCTTCTTAATATCCTACAATGAAGTCAATGAAGTCAATGAAGGTAACAATCTTCTGATAATTTAACAATCTATTGAAAAGATGTATTATACATATTGTTATATGAAAATACAAAAATGAAAGAGAGAGCACGCATTTCATGTATTTTAAAGGAATGTGACGGTAGGACTGTGTGACCTTTTTCAAATGTTATCACGCCTATTTTCCTAGTTCGCAGAAATTAAAGCTTAACCAGAAAATTATTGATTACCCATGCACAACTGTACATTGTCTCATTGGCAATCATACCACATCTCCTTATTTTTATTTTTATAGCGAGGAAACAAATTTTACATATTTCACAGCTTGTAAGACAAAGTTTTGTTTTTCAATGAAAAAAATAATCTTCTAGAATAAGTCCTTTGTCAATTGTAATTCTGAAAAGTAAAAGAAAACGTATCTTACCTGGAATTGATCATGAATGCCTTCAAAAGTAAGAACCCACTTTGCACAAATAATATAATGATTTAAAATGCAGAATCGGATTATAGGGTCTGTAATTCTCAAAATCTTATATTTGCTTTTGACAAATTTCGAGACTTATTTACAATTATTTGTTTTTTTGAAGTAAAGATACATGTAACTATTCAAATTTGAAAGTCTATTTGAAGCGTTGCATATGGAATGGTTCTAAAATTCAAAATTTAAGAAAAGATGTGATAATGGGTTCGATCGAGTATACTCGAACAGCTGTTTTCGACAATTCAACTAATTTTAGACGTTTTTGGTCCAAAAATAACTATATATGTTTGTATCGGAAAGAAACTGTAGCATGTTTTAGTTTAGCAAGTATGATGCCTTTATCTAAATTCCGAAAACTATCACTTATAAAGTCGGTGGGGGTTTACATATACAGTTTCTGTCCCAACTTTGATAATTTGAAAGACTAGCACTAGTATGCATTATTGTTTAGGGGCCAGCTGAAGCCCGCCTCCGGTGCGTGATTTTTTCGCTGTGTAAAAGACCCATTGGTGGCCTTGTGCTGTTTTCTGCTCTTTGGTCGGTTTGTTGTCTCGTTGACGCATTCCTCGTTTCCATTCTCAATTTTATATTAAACTTCCAATGAGGGATGAGAAAAAAAGACCAGCATTGAAAATACAAATACAACATACCTTAATCCAAGAAACATTTTAAGATAAGCATAAATAAAAAAATGCAATTTCAAGCTTAAACTTCCCCTTCGAAAAAATAAGAAATTATTTACAAATTCCATTAAATATCGCATTTATTGTTCTTAAATTATTTTTTTTAATTGAAGAGAATCAGTTAATAGGAATTAATAGGTAAACTGTTAATTAAAAAAGAATCAAAGAAAAAAATAGCAAATCAACGAGACAGCAAACAAACGATAGAAACAACCGACAGACATTGAGAGGTCAACATACAGACTTCAACAATAGACAATATACCAAACTTTAAATCACGCGACTTCCTCGATACCAAATTTTACAAAAAGTCGAGGTTCAATAAGATATTAAACACTACCATTCTAAAGTATTCTTGCAATTATTGAATACAAGCTACAAATACTGAACCTAAGTAATCGTGCTTCAAACACTCTAATATCGGCGACTGTTTTTCAGATAATATATTATACAGTAACGTTATTAACATAACATGAAGACACGATTTTGTCAAAATGCCAAAACAAACATGTTCAGAATGCAATACAAAAAACGGAATATTTTAGATTTGCTTCAAATAATGGATTAACGGCTTAATATTTATCCCCCCAAAAATACCAGACATAATGATTGAACAACAATGATATGATTATAACCTTAACCAATTAGAGATTTTAAAATTAAAAGAAGCAAAAAGTATACACATACATGGGCGTGCATTGTAATATAAAAATCAGATCCACATAAACTATGTCTTTTTATGGACATATATTGAATAGAATCATTTTACGATATTTTAAAAGTGCTGTTTAAATAACTTTTTCTTTGTATCCGAAATTTATAATTTCCTGCATCATTTAACTTTTTGTATCTTAATTTAAAGAAATACTAATGTTAACACATTTTATGCCACAATAGTTTGTACCCCTAAGTCAAAAGATATTAAAACTGCTATTATAGATCAAAACAAACACACTTAATATTATAGTATCATTAGCAAACTCTTAAGGGACCACTTTAATCTTTTAGAACTCTATCTTACTATCTTTCAACTTCTAAGCACTTTTGTCAATAGAAAATACAATTTTCATAACTACACTTCATATCTATAAAGCCATTAAAGGTGGATAGCTATTATTGAGATTTAAAATAAATTAATAAATGAAAATATTTTGTTGCGATGGTCTTTCCATATTGTCTCCGCGTAGAAGTATTTAGTAACTTTGTATGTCAAATGTTGATTACTAATGATAAAATCTATTAAAATTCCGCCTTTAGCAAGAAGGCATATGGTGGCTAACTAATGTTTGTCATAAACTTTTATTATATTGTATATATTGTTATTAAATGTATTGAAATGAAATTCCCAGAGACAAATTTCATCACGTATTGTTTTACGCTGTGCTGACTGTTTCAAAATGAATATTAACAAAAAAAGAACAGTAATTATATAAAATGATGAACATAAAATCCCCTCTTATGTATGTATAGCCTTGAATTAGTTTAAAATCACAGACGTAGCACAAATTTTCCCTGTATTCATTCGCAGGCTCAACATAAGGAAAGTTGTTTTATGCCTACTAGAATTCTTATATCAATCAGTCTATTATATACCTCAAAGAAATTTGAACACTATTGCTACATCTGTAAGATCCAAATGTTATTTAGTTCTATACATTGTTGTTAATGATGATTTTGATTTATCATTGCACATTTGACATATTTTGGTAAACATTAAATTGCATTGAAAGATTTCTTTTTACAAAATGATTTAGTCTAAATTTACAGTGAAGTAAACCCTAAACCAAAATGAATTTAATTTTGTCCGATTTATTGATTGATTGATTTGCTTGCTTTAGTCTAGGGACACATACTTCAGGCGTATTCAGAACAAGAACCAAGAAAATATTACAATAGGCAGTTTCTGCAATGTAGGTCGACTAGGATCAAGGGCAGGAAAGGAGTAGACCCGGTAAGATCCCTTTTTGACCCCAAAATATAGCATTTTTACAAATTTGCTAAAAACTTTAAATTTTTGCTATTTATTGGTGCTAATTTTTAGACGGTTTTTGTATAAAATGGAAGTGGCCGCACTTGTGTTCAGTCTTAATATTTAAATATATGTTGTATTTAATGATAAAACATAACATATATAAAGGTTGAGACTGAACACGAAATGCGGCCACTTACATTTAAGACAAAAACCATCTGAAAAGTGACGTTTTATGGCATATTTGATAGATTTTGCATATTTAAGCTTGAATTTGTGCGTCTTTAATGACCAAATCAGTTCAAATCTTTTACATAAACTAATTGAATCGACTAAAGTAGACACTTACGAGTTTAAAAAATGTCAAAAATCTTTCATCAGATGTCCTTCAAATTTTAGGCCAAAATTAGCCCTTACCGGACCTTATCCTTTGGACAGCGACTTGCAAGTGACGGACCAAAGTTTTCGAATTCTATGATTGTTTACAGTATCAATGACAGGCCAGAGATATGATTCGCACCAACTGGGTGGATATTGGATCAATTTCAATGAAATAAGGCCAGAGATATGATTCGCACCAACTGGGTGGATATTGGATCAATTTCAATGAAATAAGGCCAGAGATATGATTCGCACCAAAATGGGTGGATATTGGATCAATTTCTATGAAATTTTGCCAGGTATTTGACGCATAAGCTATTAAGGGTAGCATAACTCAAGATTATGATATATAAACCGTCAGTAGGAAAAATGAAATTCCTAGTCAATTAAGATTGGAGTCAAACTCACAGCCTCAGCGTTGACAGAAATGTATGAGATCACAGAGGCGGTCAATCATCGTTAGAAAACAAAACGGATAATACAAAACAATGTAAAAAATAAGAAGATGTGGTATGATTCCCAATAATTATGACAACTATCTTCTAAAGTCAAAATGACGTGCATGTAAGCAGCTATAGGTCACCTTACGGCCTTCAACAAATGGCAAAACCCATACCGTATAGTCAAATGTAGAATAATTTATACGAGAACACCAAATGGGTGATTTCTTGGTACCTGAAAAAACAAAACAAAAATCCATTTTGTACACGTACTAATGTTAATGGACGACCCGAGGGGAGGAGGATATTGTTCTGTACGGAATATTCATTTCACATTTAGCGAGTCTAGCTATTTTTTTTTTTTTTGTTTTTTTGCCGCTTTTTGTACACATTTATTCTTGCATTTTGTTGGGCAAAATGTCCATTTTTATCCGGTCTGGGAAAAGTTATTTTTTCAGTTCATACCAGAATACTTGTTTTCAACATCCTCCTCCCCCTTCCCTGATACCAAATATTCTTTCTCTTATCTTGTTTATATAGCATTTTCTCAAATAGATATTGTCCTGTTTTACTTGTTTTCCATCTCTGCTTTTGTACTTTTACATGTTTAGTGTTGCTGGTTAGACTGGTCGGTATATGAATTTATGTGCGGTATGCGGAATGAATTTGAAAGATTGCGCATTAATTTTATAATGGGGATTTTGTATAAGTTGTATAACTATTGCCGTTAACCGGTTTGGCGGTCAGTATAAAAGGTAATTGCACGGGCTTTTTAGTTATCGAGGACTGGGTAGTGACCACACAATCGCACGTCATATATATAGGTAGAAGTTTTTTTTTTTTTGTATACAAAATATTTGTATTTAAGTTTTATATAGAACAGTATTTAAATGTGTTGTATTTATTTTTTAGATTATTTTGTTGCAGAACATGATATTGTCCAAGATTCTGTCAGGCAGTGTATCTTGTGTTTTTGATGGACTTTATTATTTTAGTTTGATGGACTTGACCAGATCAGATACATATTGTATTAGGAAAATAAAATTTAAGGTGGTCACTGCGCCATTCAGTATCCAAACTTGTGTTTGTTCTATTGTATTTAGAAAGTAAAGGCTAATGTTGAAGTGTACATAATTGCATGTGCTCAATTATGTACACATATGTTCAAAATAGATGGAGCATTTTAGCACATAAATACTTTATGTTTGGTTAAACAACGTGCATTAAAACATAAGTAGTGTTCTCTTTTAATAGTAATTTTTATGATTTTTAATAATACATTTGTTTTCTTCATCTCTTTACCAGTATATCATTTCTTCATCTCTTTACCAGTATATCATTCCTTCATCTCTTTACCAGTATATCATTCCTTGATCTCTTTACCAGTATATCATTTCTTCGTCTCGTTACTAGTATATCATATCTTCGTCTCGTTACCAGTATATCATATCTTCATCTCTTTACCAGTATATTATTCCTTCATCTCTTTACCAGTATATCATTTCTGCATCTCTTTACCAGTATATCATTTCTTCATCTCTTTACCAGTATATCATTTCTTTATCTCTTTACCAGTATATCATTCCTTCATCTCTTTACCAGTATATCATATCTTCATCTCTTTACCAGTATATCATTTCTTCATCTCTTTACCAATATATCATTTCTTCGTCTCTTTACCAGTATATAATATCTTCATCTCTTTACCAGTATATCATATCTTCGTCTCTTTACCAGTATATCATTTCTTCATCTCTTTACCAGTATATCATTTCTTTATCTCTTTACCAGTATATCATATCTTCATAGTATATCATATCTTCATCTCTTTACCAATATATCATATCTTCATCTCTTTACCAGTATATCATATCTTCATCTCTTTACCAGTATATCATTCCTTCATCTCTTTACCAGTATATCATTTTTCATCTCTTTACCAGTGTATCATTTCTTCATCTCTTTACCAGTATATCATATCTTCATAGTATATCATATCTTCATCTCTTTACCAGTATATCATATCTTCATCTCTTTACCAGTATATCATTCCTCCATCTCTTTACCAGTATATCATTTCTTCATCTCTTTACCAGTATATCATTTCTTCATCTCTTTACCAGTATATCATTCCTTCATCTCTTTACCAGTATATCATATTTGCATATGAGTTGTTAGGTTTAATCTTTTCCATTATATTTTGAAACCACTTTCGACTTGTTTTTAGTTAATAAGACACTGCCCTATATTTCTTAAAAAGAGAGAGAGAAGATACCAAGAGCAGTTAATAAGACACTGCCCTATATTTCTTAAACAGAGAGAGAGAAGATACCAAGAGCAGTTAATACGACACGGGCCTATATTTCTTAAACAGAGAGAGAGAAGATACCAAGAGCAGTTAACAAGACACTGCCCTATATTTCTTAACGAGAGAGAGAAGTACCAAGAGCAGTTAATAAGACAATGCCCTATAGTTCTTAAACAGAGAGAGAGAAAATACCAAGAGTAGTTAATAAGACACTGCCCTATATTTCTTAAAAAGAGAGAGAAGTACCAAGAGCAGTTAATAAGACAATGCCCTATATTTCTTAACGAGAGAGAGAAGATACCAAGAGTAGTTAATAAGACACTGCCCTATATTTCTTAAACAGAGAGAGAGAAGATACCAAGAGCAGTTAATAAGACACTGCCCTATATTTCTTAAAAAGAGAGAGAGAAGATACCAAGAGCAGTTAATAAGACACTGCCCTATATTTCTTAAACAGAGAGAGAGAAGATACCAAGAGCAGTTAATACGACACGGGCCTATATTTCTTAAACAGAGAGAGAGAAGATACCAAGAGCAGTTAATAAGACACTGCCCTATATTTCTTAACGAGAGAGAGAAGTACCAAGAGCAGTTAATAAGACAATGCCCTATAGTTCTTAAACAGAGAGAGAGAAAATACCAAGAGTAGTTAATAAGACACTGCCCTATATTTCTTAAAAAGAGAGAGAAGTACCAAGAGCAGTTAATAAGACAATGCCCTATATTTCTTAACGAGAGAGAGAAGATACCAAGAGTAGTTAATAAGACACTGCCCTATATTTCTTAAACAGAGAGAGAGAAGATACCAAGAGCAGTTAATAAGACACTGCCCTATATTTCTTAACGAGAGAGAGAAGATACCAAGAGAAGTTAATAAGACACTGCCCTATATTTCTTAACGAGAGAGAGAAGATACCAAGAGCAGTTAATAAGACACTGCCCTATATTTCTTAAAAAGAGAGAGAAGTACCAAGACCAGTTAATGAGACAATGCCCTATACTTCTTAAACAGAGAGAGAGAAGATACCAAGAGCAGTTAATAAGACACTGCCCTATATTTCTTTAACAGAGAGAGAGAAGATACCAAGAGCAGTTAATAAGACACTGCCCTATATTTCTTAAACAGAGAGAGAGAAGATACCAAGAGCAGTTAATAAGACACTGCCCTATATTTCTTAAACAGAGAGAGAGAGAAGATACCAAGAGCAGTTAATAAGACAATGCCCTATAGTTCTTAAACAGAGAGAGAGAGAAGATACCAAGAGCAGTTAATAAGACACTGCCCTATATTTCTTAAACAGAGAGAGAGAGAAGATACCAAGAGCAGTTAATAAGACACGGCCCTATATTTCTTAAAAAGAGAGAGAAGTACCAAGACCAGTTAATAAGACACTGCCCTATATTTCTTAAACACAGAGAGAGAAGATACCAAGAGCAGTTAATAAGACACTGCCCTATATTTCTCAAAGAGAGAGAGAAGATACCAAGAGCAGTTAATAAGACACTGCCCTCTATTTCTTAAACAGAGAGAGAGAAGATACAAAGAGCAGTTAATAAGACAATGCCCTATATTTCTTTAAAAGAGAGAGAAGTACCAACAGCAGATAATAAGACACTGCCCTATATTTCTTAAACAGAGAGAGAGAAGATACCAAGAGCAGTTAATAAGACAATGCCCTATATTTCTTAAAAAGAGAGAGAAGTACCAAGAGCAGTTAATAAGACACTGCCCTATATTTCTTAACGAGAGAGAGAAGATACCAAGAGCAGTTAATAAGACACTGCCCTATATTTCTTAAAAAGAGAGAGAAGTACCAAGACCAGTTAATGAGACAATGCCCTATACTTCTTAAACAGAGAGAGAGAAGATACCAAGAGCAGTTAATAAGACACTGCCCTATATTTCTTTAACAGAGAGAGAGAAGATACCAAGAGCAGTTAATAAGACACTGCCCTATATTTCTTAAACAGAGAGAGAGAAGATACCAAGAGCAGTTAATAAGACACTGCCCTATATTTCTTAAACAGAGAGAGAGAGAAGATACCAAGAGCAGTTAATAAGACAATGCCCTATAGTTCTTAAACAGAGAGAGAGAGAAGATACCAAGAGCAGTTAATAAGACACTGCCCTATATTTCTTAAACAGAGAGAGAGAGAAGATACCAAGAGCAGTTAATAAGACACGGCCCTATATTTCTTAAAAAGAGAGAGAAGTACCAAGACCAGTTAATAAGACACTGCCCTATATTTCTTAAACACAGAGAGAGAAGATACCAAGAGCAGTTAATAAGACACTGCCCTATATTTCTCAAAGAGAGAGAGAAGATACCAAGAGCAGTTAATAAGACACTGCCCTCTATTTCTTAAACAGAGAGAGAGAAGATACAAAGAGCAGTTAATAAGACAATGCCCTATATTTCTTTAAAAGAGAGAGAAGTACCAACAGCAGATAATAAGACACTGCCCTATATTTCTTAAACAGAGAGAGAGAAGATACCAAGAGCAGTTAATAAGACAATGCCCTATATTTCTTAAAAAGAGAGAGAAGTACCAAGAGCAGTTAATAAGACACTGCCCTATATTTCTTAACGAGAGAGAGAAGATACCAAGAGCAGTTAATAAGACACTGCCCTATATTTCTCAAAGAGAGAGAAAAGATACCAAGAGCAGTTAATAAGACACTGCCCTATATTTCTCAAAGAGAGAGAAAAGATACCAAGAGCAGTTAATAAGACAATGCCCTATATTTCTCAAAGAGAGAGAAAAGATACCAAGAGTAGTTAATAAGACACGGCCCTATATTTCTTAAACAGAGAGAGAAGATACCAAGAGTAGTTAATAAGACACTTCCCTGTATTTCTTAAACAGAGAGAGAGAAAATACCAAGAGCAGTTAATAAGACACTGCCCTATATTTCTTAAACAGAGAGAGAGAGAAGATACCAAGAGCAGTTAATAAGACAATGACCTATATTTCTTAAACAGAGAGAGAGAAGATACCAAGAGTAGTTAATAAGACAATGACCTATATTTCTTAAACAGAGAGAGAGAAGATACCAAGAGTAGTTAATAAGACAATGCCCAGTATTTCTTAACGAGAGAGAGAAGATACCAAGAGTAGTTAATAAGACACTGCCCTATATTTCTTAACGAGAGAGAGAAGATACCAAGAGCAGTTAATAAGACACTGCCCTATATTTCTAAACGAGAGAGAGAAGATACCAAGAGCAGTTAAAAAGACACTGCCCTATATTTCTAAAACAGAGAGAGAGAAGATACCAAGAGCAGTTAATAAGACACTACCCTATATTTCTTAAACAGAGAGAGAGAAGATACCAAGAGCAGATAATAAGACACTGCCCTATATTTCTTAAAAAGAGAGAGAAGATACCAAGAGCAGTTAATAAGACACTGCCCTATATTTCTAAAACAGAGAGAGAGAAGATACCAAGAGCAGTTAATAAGACACTGCCCTATATTTATTAAACAGAGAGAGAGAAGATACCAAGAGCAGTTAATAAGACACGGCCCTATATTTCTTAAAAAGAAGGAGAAGTACCAAGACCAGTTAATAAGACACTGCCCTATATTTCTTAAACACAGAGAGAGAAGATACCAAGAGCAGTTAATAAGACACTGCCCTATATTTCTCAAAGAGAGAGAGAAGATACCAAGAGCAGTTAATAAGACACTGCCCTATATTTCTTAAAGAGAGAGAGAGAAGATACCAAGAGTAGTTAATAAGACACTGCCCTATATTTCTTAAACAGA